ATTTTTAAATAAAAAATAAAAAATTTAATATTTTTATTTATACTTTCTCTTAATCATCCTCTCTTAATTCCAATTTAATTATAAATTTGATATAATTAATTAATTAATTAATTATATATATTATATTTAATATTTCATGTAGCATAATTATTATATCATGAGACGACAACCACGATGGCCTCAATCACCTGCGCATCTCAATATAGAAAAATAAAATAAAAGTGGTTTAAATATTTATCAGAAAGCTGGACCCACGGCTCCATTATTTAGTCTGGTACTGACAACGATATATTTAGCTGTATTTGAAAAAAAAAAAAAAAAAAAAGGGAAAAACTTGTGGAGACTCCAGTTTTGCAGAGCCGGTGGGGCATTTAATCAAAGACTTTTCAGCTCTTCAAAGAGACAGTTGACTCCAAAGTCTTTGCCAGGACTAAATTTTTTTTTTGAGAAAAACTCCGAGAAATTGAATTGATAGGACTCAAATAATTGAACGGTGCTGTTAAGCTGAAAGAAATTGCAAATTGGGACGGAGGACGATTATGTGGGTGCAATTGTTTTTGATCGGCGTGTTGTGTTGGTACAATTTTATTGGTTTAACTAGGTGTTTCCTCCAAATCCTCTCTTTTTGGCTGCTGCTGACAGAAGTGTTCAGGTGTGCTATTTATTTTACTAACAATTTTTTATGTCTCTCACTTTTTTTAAGTGTAAGAATTTATTTAAAAATTAATAAAAAAATATTATTTGATTAAATGATTGTATCAATAATTCTCTAATATGATGATTGTAGTGGGAACAAGAGTGCACTCCTAGATAAAGGTTCAAAAATAGTTGCCATATAAGAATATTAGAAACACCCCACATCTAAGACTACAATAAAATTAGTTTATTAAACAAAATAAATAGAAATAAGAAAAAGAGAGAGTGTGCCACAAAAATAAAAGATGATCTAAAAATAAGGTAATGAGAGGACATTAAATTACAAAATATGATAAAAATCTTAAAACTTAGTTAGAATTAAAAACTAAGAGTACTAGTAGAAATATAAATTAAAACTGACAAAAATGTAAAGAACTAATTATTAACAGAAATGAAATGAAATTAGGATTTTTATTTGAAATCTTGAGGAGAATTATAACTATAGGCTAAAACATAAATTTACTAACAAAACAAAAATTAAATCTAAGCATTCAAACAAAAATGTAAATTATTAGCAAAAATACGAAGTTTGTTGGTTAAAGAGGAATAATTATATTAAATTTAATTGTTAGAACTAACTTAACAAAAAACTACAAAAACAAAAATCCCATTAAGGGAGTTAAACCTCCTTTACGCTAATAAGAAATTCTAAAGTTACTATATGATCTATTTTCTAACTAAACTAGCGTGAAACTAACGTTGAAATGTAGATGTTGAGAGGGGTAACCTTTGTGAACTTTGTCTTAAAATTATGTATTTATAGGTTTCCATAACTGAAGTTGTTATCAGAAATATGATTAGATCATTATTTTCTCCAACTTTTGTGCTACCAAGCTTGACTAAATCAAAGGAATTTCAATAGCTCTCAATCCTTCCTTACAAAATAGATTTTTGCTATGTGTCGTTTAGTTGTTAAATACAAAATTTTGATTGTCAGAAATCCCCAAAATTAGGCTTGTTGGAACCATTTCTGATTTTTCTCAACTAAGTTGCACTATTCTGCACCATAGTAGTAACTTGATTTTGTGGAACAACTAAACTCTCCCTTTCGATTTCTTTCATGTGACAGACACTCGTTGCACAAGAATTTATCCTTACTGTGGATAGTATTACACCATCTCATGGTTATTGATCATCTTTTGAATTCCCAATTGTATGGGAAAATTGTGACCATTGGATCTCTATTAGGGACACATAGCATCATTAAGAGAATTGTCAAATATGGTATAAATACTAGGTGAAACTACTAAATCTGCCCTTGAAACCTAGTTTCTCTTTTGGTTTTTTTTTTTTGTCCTTCCACCTTATTTATTAAGGCACTTTTTTTTTTGCCTTCCAACTTACTTATTAAAGCACACTTTAATATGATTGTGGTTTTGAATTTTTTATTTTAGTTTTCAAATTTTAAATAATCAAAATTAACAATTAAAAGCTAAAATTTAAAATTAAAATCATCAACTTATTGGGTATACAATTTTAAAATAAACATTCAAAACTATAAACTTATTTAATTTATAGAAGTACCTAATTTTATCTTAGGTGTTGTAAATTTTGAAAACTATAAAACCTAGAACTCAAAACCATAAGCATACTAAACAAAGTATTAAGATATACACTCATAAACTACACTTAGGGGGTGTCTGGTTTACTTTCTCAGAAAATACTTTCTTTAGAATTTTGTAAAAATATTTTGGTATTTATACACCTCAAAATTACAATAAATAAAAAATAAAAGTGATGTTTTTAACATTTATTTTCCTTAAAATAATTCTCAACTTAATTATAAAGCTTTTTCCCCACTTCTTTTGAAAGAAAAAAAATTTCTTTACAACTTTTCTTATATTGAGTTTACTTAATAACTTTTTATGTTAACTTTTTTTTTTATATATTAATTTCTTAGCATAGAGAACAAATTTAACAATATAACAAAATTCCAATAAAACCAACTTGACAAATTAGAAGCCTAAAGAAACCCAAACAAACAGGTAACAAAACACGGGAAGCAAGACGCAAAATGAAAATTACACAAACAAAAGGATCCATATGAAAACATTTCAAACCAGTCTTTGCATTTACTCTTAGACTTTCAACTTTTCACACATCTTGGTCCTGTCTGCTGATCCACGCCGTTCCCTCCATACTAAAGGTTTCTGGAACTTTCAAGACCGGGGGATAATTGTGAATATTGTTTGCAGCAGGGTAAGTAGAAGCAAGAAAGCTGCAGCAAGAAAGGAGAACAACGCCCATGGTGTGTTGAAATAATTGTGCCTCAAGCTTGCCTTTCTTTTGTTCCAAGTTGTATAGTAATGTTTTCTGACATCAATAAGTAACTTCTCATAGAAGAAGTTGTTTCTGTCGAGGATGACTTCACTTCCGAGCGTATTAAACATCTCAGCAACTGCATCGTCAGTGCCTAACCAGTTATCAATTATCCGTTTGCGACAAAGTAACTGCACATCCTTCCCTGTGTTGATGAGACAATCCATGACTTCTCTATATTGAGTTAAGTACTTAGGAGATCCACTGTAGTCAAACTGTTCACAGGCAATGATATTACGAAACAATCCCTCAGTATCATCATCAATTCTCACAAATGGAATGGAAAGTTTCCCATTTTCAAACTCTATATCAAACAAGCTGCCCTTCTTAACCTTCTTAACCTGGAACTTGATTCCTGCCTCTCTCAATTCTGTGGCAGAACGTAACCACTGATTATCTTCTTCCACTTCCTCGGTTTTTTTGGACGCATCTTCTTTCTCTTCCTTGGTTTTTTTTCTTGGTTCATCTTCTAATTTCCATTTCACGTATCCACGTAGGAATTCCTCAGAAGGAAGCCAATTGGTGCGTAATAAGTCCACTAGATGCTTTACGTTTTTCACTGAATTTCTATTGTATCTCTTTCCTTCAGAAACCCTGAGCCCTGGCATCTTTCCTTCAAACATATCTAAAATAACAACAATGTATGGGCTTGGATCTCCAAACATATTGCCAAATAACTCCCATAGTACAAAAAAGGGAAGTTGGTTCTCAACTAGTGTGAAATCTTTCAAAATGTTTTCGGTAATCTGTTCCACACGAAAGATAGGGTCATGCAGCAAACTTCGCTTACGAATTTTGTGAATTAGCTCGGCAATAAAACATCCATCAAGAACCATCATGTCTAAAAATTCCTTATCGGAAATAACCAAAGATTTCGCATAAAAGTTACGAGCCTCTTTCATCATACTTGTCATGAGCATCTCATATCTTTTAGCACTACTGTCATTATCTCGTTGAAGACAATCATTTAAAAAACGCAACTTGAGCGTTTCCATTGGCTTTAAATGTTCTTTTCCCCGATGATAAGGACCAATAGAAATGATTCTAGGTTCGTAGGCTGCTTCATTTAGCTTGCGTATAAAATGAGGCACTTGAAAAATTTGAGGCCATGACAAAGGTTCGGCAGGAAGGCTCTTTATCAAGCCATCATTAAGAATCTCTACAGTGTTTATCTTTTTCACCATCTCCTATGTCACGCCCCCAACTTAGGGGTTAGGACATGACAATGCCACATACCTTTAGGAGTGACCCCAAAAGCATGTAAGGCTAAATCAGTCTCTAAAATTCATCCCTGCAGCTTTGCATAAAATTTATTCTTCACTTTTAAGAAAATTAATAGAAAAATGTATATATGATAATAATACTCCAGCATCTAAAGTCAATTCTACACCAAAAATCTGAAGTATAACTAGCACTAAATTAAAATCTCTTTATTTCAAATGTCCACGAATGCTAAGCATAATGGGAAAGAAGTAAATAGTCTATTTCTAAGGTGGCTCTCTAATTCCCCTGCCTCCCAGATGCTCCATGTTTAGTATCTGAAAACATTAAATAAAACAAGGTGAGCTCCACATGCCCAATAAGTAGCATACCCAACTAATACGACCAAGCATAATTATCTTAATTAAAAAGTGATATAAAATAAGTAATTAAATTATATTGGATGAAACAAATATAAAGAAACTCCTCAGTAAAACAATTTCTCAATCCCACATGGCTGTGGTACACGAATATCAATTGGTCGTTCGATACTCTATACGACAAAATAAATAAATAAAAAAAATGAACTGTTCGATGGTCTAACTCAGTTTACCGTTCGATAGTCTAACACGGTTTACCGTTCGATAATCTATTACGGCACGATAATCTAAAATGATTCCCGACGATTCTATGCAAAACAAGTTACCTTAATTTCAAATAAATTTTCAATTCCAAAGTCTCTATATCACAGAACTATCAAATCCCCTCATCTCAAATAATTGACAACCAACATGCTTAATCCACATTTATTTAAAGAAAGAAAATGATAAATAAATATACACATAAATAAGTAAATGCATTCCAAAAGAAATACCACAGGGAAATAGTTAAAACAAAATACTTAGATTTCAAATAAATTAATTTCACAATACAAGTGAAAGAATAATTTATTTTTCCAGCATTTCTAGAAAGGGTAATGCCACTTACCTCAGTTATTGACCTGGCACCAGTGAATGCAAAGCCAAGAATTATTTAGACCCTTTTTCCTTGAATGGACTTGGCAACTATTTTCCCCCAATTTGTGCAGTCACCTTCCCCTTTCTTTTTTTTTGCGTGAGAAAACTCCCAGGCTCCCAGCCCCTTCCCCCCTTTTCTGCAGAATAATCACGCTATTCTTAAATTTCTAGGTTAAGTTTTGCACATTTTACAAGCCACTCCTTCATCTTTACCACCATTATACACATAAGTCCTCATATTTCCACCTTATTGCATACACATCCTCAAGGAATTAAATAATAATAGCAATAATAAAAATTCTGGGTATTACATCCTAAAAGCAAATATAGGAAATTTGTTGACGATGAGATATACTATATATGGATGCTAAAAGATAAGAGTTAAGATAGTGCAACATGAACGAAAAAATTGTTAAGCTATAACATTCCTGAGGAAAAATATTAATTTAACCAGAAACTCAAGAGTTTAAAACCAGATAAACTCTTGATCAAGATAGGAAGCAATTCGATCGGTAAATAATTAGCCGACTCTAATTGAAAACTATACATAATTACATACACTGTATATAAATAAATACAAAGAAAGTAGTAGAATTTTTCTGACAAAATATAGAAGGAGCTTACTTGTTCATTTGCACTTGAGGACGTGAAGACGGTACTGTTTAACGCCAGATAAAATCTCTGATAGAAAGCTTTCTCAAAATGGATGGAAGAGGCTTGACTGGTGAAGAGATACCAAGCCACCTAATATATAAAAGAAAATAAGGACTATCTAGTATTAAAAATATTATGATGTTGAATGTCTTGATATTTTTAATGATATGGATATCTTGATTTTTAGCATACTCATATATATATATATATATATATGAGTAAGAATTTATTTATGGGTCATGATAGGTGCACATCCGGATTCAACACCCGGGTGTACACGTTCCAATAACCAAAGATAATCAAAAAATTTTAAAAGTGTAATTACAATTTTACCCTTTCCACTTTTTCTTTTTTATTTTTTTCCCGAGCAGAACCCGACCT